AGACTTAGATTTGGGGAGAAAGCACACTCCAGGCATGGGAGTCAGTCTGTGCAAAGGCAGGGAGACAGAAGATGAGCTATCATATGTGGAGAACAGCATGGAGGCTGGCTAGGCTGTAATGGAGAGTGGATGAAGGAAAAGAATGTGAAATCAGTCTGCAAAGATAGGTTGGAGCCATACTGTGAAGGGCTTTAAATGTCAGGGGAGTTTGTATTTAATCCTAGAGGAAATAGGAAGCTTCTGAAGCAAGGGAATGACACAGTTAGAACTGTGCTTTAGGAATATAAATGTGTCTGTGGAGGATGGATTGAAGAGGATGAGAGACTGCAAGCTGGGAGACCAGTGAAGAAGCTATTGAGAAAACTCAGGACTGAGTGGGAGCCTGAAGTAGGGGAGTGGCTATGGGAGGGGAAAGAAAGGGAGAGATTGCATCATTGGACCATCCTTGACTGTTTGATTCGAAGTTAGCCCTAGTGTCTAGCACCGTACCTGGCACACAGTAGGCACTTAAATGCCTGTTGGCTGATCACAGATTTAGAGCTGGAAGGATGATTATAAGAGAAATGGAGGAGCTAGGAAACCAGGACTTGATTCCTGAGATTTCTTGTACTGATCTCCAAAACCCTATGAACTCCCCTGCTTCTAAAATGTACCTTCCAGGGAGAGCTGCTGACAAGTACAATCAGAATATGACAAAGAAATCCGAAGCAATGCCAGAGGCAAAGGTAAAGATTCCTTTGCATTAGATTAAACTCCTTGATTTTCAGATGCTTGGTCCAATCTTTGGTTAAGCATAAGGCTAACATTTTCATGCAATATCCTTGCTGTGTCACAGGCTATGTTTGTATTCATTAACTAATGCATGATCAGAATGGAAGTCTAGACATTTCACAGAAAACTTAGTTAACGCTGAAAAACATTCGTTTAAGACAAAATCTATTACTAGAGAAGAGAGCAACACAAGGTGTTACTCATTTGTGTAGGTTTTAACGTTACTGTCCCTCTGCAACCACATCAAACAGACAAGGAAACAAAATGTCAAAGAGGTGGAAAAACTGCAATGAATTTCGTTTTTTCCACACCCAATTTTCTGGTGTAGCAATTACCTGACCTCCTCTCCCCCCCAAAAAAAGAAATGTTGATCTGACACGTGGGGGTGGGGGAGGGGTTAGGGGATCATTTAATTCTATACAAGTAATAGGCCAACGAACGCATGTAAAATCATGCAACCACTAGAAGGAGCTCAATTACAATTCTTTGTAATTATTGAAAACTAGCATGAAAAGTACAAATGAGAAATACGTAAATACGATAGCTTCTAAAGCAACCAAACCTTAATGAAAGAAAACCCAAATATGTTCCAATTCAACCCTTCTTATTTAGCAAGAGGGTCTTGGGAAAATGCTCAAGTGGCCACAAAAGCAGGCCAAAGCAGAGAGGGTCTTCCCTAGCCCATCATTACTCTTTGTCTTCCTTACATCTTCCACATTCTAAGTCAAGTCTGTCACCAGGAAAATCTCATTTACTTTTTGGCTTGTTCCATACAGTAAGCTTTGTGAGCATGCCTACCTTCAGAAACTTTATGGATGGGGCTAGCACAGAACTCAGGAGTCAGGGCTCATTTCCTCTCCCTCACGTGGGCTGGGTGATGCAGAGTAAGAGCAAGGAGAAGGTTATATGCAACCTTCACTGTGTGTGTATCTTGTCTCTCCAATTAGACTGGAAGCTTCTTGAGAGCAAGGTTTATGTCTTATACTGAGAATTTTCAAGCTGCAAGGAAGCTTAGAGATCATTTTGTCAACTTCTTTGCAACCCTCCTACTATATTGCATAGTATCTTTTATACAGTGCCTTGCCAACAAAAATTTGTTGATTATTTCATAATAAGAAAAGACAACTAATGATACTTCAGCCACGTAGGGAAAAAATGCCATTACTCTTCTTAAAATTTTAAAAGTAAGAATACTAAAGGTTGTCCACTTGATGTTGCTTGTCATTTGAATAACATTCATAGTGAATTTTTAGAGTAAAAATCCCCTTAAACTACCCTGTACTGAAATAATCAATGTCTTTTGACAGGTTTTCCCAGAGTGCCACTTCCCTGATGAGACCTACTGGTCTCATTCACAAGCTGCTTAAGATAGCTATATTTTTAGTCTGGCATTACGAACATTTGGGGAAAGGATCATGGGAACATATCGATTTTGGAATAAGTTACTCCAACAATTCTATATATGAATCTCTCAGCTCTACCTGATTTTCCTAGGTTTTGTGAGATTAGATTCTTTGGTATTTAGTAAAATTTTAGCAGAGGAGAAATATGACAGCGCACCATCCACTAGAGTCATATTTCTTGGGTGCACTGCTATACATAAACAATTTTTTTCCTACACAAATACCAAAAAACATTTTACAATGGATAAATGGTCTAAAGACCATTTGAGAACAGAATTCTCAAAAGAAGACTTGTGAACCACCATTAACCACATGAAAGAAATGCAAATCAAGATGACTTTCAGGTTTCACAGTATATCTTACCAACTGGCATAGATGAAAAAAAGATGAAAATAGCCAATGTGTTGAAGGGGTGGTGGAAAGACAGGCAAGTTATTGCACTGTTGGTGGAATATTCTGAAAAGCTATTTGAATTATGCTAAGAAAGTGACTAAAACAGCCAAACTATTTGATGCAGAGTTCCCACTGCTAGGCATACACTCCAAAGAGGTCAATAATGAAAAAACAAAAAGGTTCCATATATGCCACAATATTTATAGTAGCATTTCTTTGCAATAGTTGAAAGTAGTTGCCAAAATGACTTAAGATGGCTAAATAAGTCACGGCAAATGAAATGTAACGGAATAAGACAGTACATAGGAAACAATACGATAAATACCGAGAAGCAAGGGAAGACACGAACTAAGTAAAAGAAGCAGAACCAGGAAAACAATACATAAAATGACTGCAACAACGCAGACAGAAAGAGCAACAATATCAAAACAATGGGAACTAAATGCTGCAAAATTATGAGGACCAGGCTTGGCCTAAAAGAAGAGAGCTCAGAGGAAGGGAACATGGCATATAATGTCAGATTTGCCTGATATGCTGCTTAGTTTTAATGAATCACTGTTTTCTCCCTTCTTTTTAATGGCTTTCTGAGAGAGGAAGAAGGATATATTTGGAAATTAAAATGTAAAAATAATCATTACAAATTTAAAAGTTTTTTGGGTTTTTTTGGTTAGGCAATGGGGTTAAATGACTTGCCCAGGGTCACACAGCTAGTGTTATGTGTCTGAGGCCAGATTTGAACTCAGGTCCTCCTGAATCCAGGGCCGGCGCTGTATCCACTGTGCCACCTAGCTGCCCCCAAATTTAAAAGTTTTTAAATATGCTTTTTGACACTCAAGAAAACAGCATATTTTTTACAAGAGCAAAAACACAAGCAAGGGGAAATGAAGCTGCTAAGAAGAGAGAGTCAAAGACTTAACTTATCATTGTCGTTGTTGTGTCATTTCAGTTCTGTCTGACTCTTCAGGACTCTGTTAGGAATTTTCTTGGCAAAGATACTGGAGTGGTTCTCCATTTACTTCTTTGGCTCATTTTATAGATGAAGACAAATGAGGTTAAGTGGCTTGCCTATGGTCACACAGCTAGTAAGTGCCTGAGGCTGGATTTGAACTCAGGTCTTCCTGACTCCAGGCCTAGCACTCTATCCTCCATACCACCTAGCTGTCCCTTAAGTTATATACTCAATTTTTGTAATCTTTAAAGGAAAGAAAGAAAGCTTTTCATGTCTTTGAAGCAGTTTGCGTACGTTGATTACAATAAACTAGGGTTATATAAACTTTGGCGTTCCTCTTGTTAAAAGAGTTTGAAACTTTGTCATTTTTGTTTTTAAAAAAAATTTTTTTAATTAATAAACATTTATTTTCTCTCTGTCCCACCTCCCTAACCTGCTGGAAAAAAAAATAAGAAAGAAAAACATAACCCTTACAACAAATATATTTAGTCAAGAGAAACAAATTCCCATCTTGGCCATGTCCAAAACTCTGTGGTTCATTCTATGTTTCCTCCTTCAGCTCTCTGTCAGGAGGTGGACAGCACACTTCATCACTGGTTCCCAATATAAGTTCATGTCCTAACCCTCTACTGTATGGTTGATCATTGCACTGATCTTAAGTCTTTCAAAGTTGTCTATTTTTTGGAGTATAACTTGTTCTCCTGGTTTCAAAGATTGAAGAAAATTACTTATATATACAAAATATTTATGGTAACTCTTTTTTTGGTGGAAAAAGAACTAAAAACTAGAATTATATTCATAAAGTGAGGAATGGCTAAAGAATTTATGGCATATGAATGTAATGTAATAGTATTGTGCAGTAAGAAAACAATGAAAGGAGTAGTGTCAGAGTAACCTGGGAAGATCTGTATGAACTGATGCAAAGAAACTTCATTGTTTATAAGCACTGCACAGAGAGTACTTGCCATTTTTGACACTATACAATGACTAGGAAAGGATCAATAAATTATATACACATACATACATACACTTACATGTGTATATATCTTCTGTGTACTTACACACATGCATGTATACATACACACAAACATACATATAGAAACAGCATGACAGATAGAGACCTGGAATCACAAAGACCTGAGTTCATGTCCTTTCTCTCCAATGCATACTACTGAGTCATTATGTGACCATGGGAAGGTCATAACCTTTCAAAGCTATGATCAATTCTCTAAGTACAGAGAGGTTGGTGACCATCAGTAGAAGTTTCCACCCCAGGAGCTCCGCACACGGATAAAATCACAGGGAAAGAAAATATAAATTAATAAATGAACAAATACATAAGTATTTACACGTATAGGTGTGTGTGTATATACATACACACACAGTATCGATCCTTGGTATACTGCCATATTATAGTTTACTAAGCACTTAACGTATACCTAGCTGTGAGCCACTGTGGAGTTTCAAAAGAAGTACAGGCATACCTCAGATATTGCAGGTTCAGTTCCAGATGATCGTAAAGAAGCAAATCCTGTAATAAAGTGAGTCACATGATTTTTTTAATTTCCCAGTACATATAAAAATTATGTTTCCACTATATTGTGGTCTATTAAATGTGCAATAGTATTATGCCTAAAAAAAAAAAACACATTGTAAGGGGCAGCTATGTGGCTCAGTGGATAGAGCACTGCCTCTGGAGTCAGGAGGACCCGAGTTCAAATCTAGCCTCAGACACCTGATACTTACTAACTATGTGACTCTGGGCAAGTCACTTAACCCCAATTGCCTTGCAAAAAAAAAACCCAACTGTACAACCTAATTAAAAAATACTTTATTGGTAAAAAAAAATGCTAACCATCATCTGAGCCTTCAGTGAGTTGTAATCGTTTTGCTGGTAGAGAGTCTTGCCTTGATGTTGATGGCTGCTGACTGATCAGGGTGGCAGTTGCTGAAGGTTGGGGTGGCTGTGGCAATTTCTTAAAATAGACAACAATGACATTTGCTCCATCGCTTGCCTTTTCCTTTCATTTGAACACTTAAAGGCCAATTGTTGGGTTATTAATTGGCCTAAATTCAATATTGTTGTGTCTCAGGGAACAGGATGGCCCAAGGAGAAGACAAGAGATGGGGGACCAGCAAGTTGGTGGAGCAGTGAGAATACGTACAACATTTATTGATTAAGTTCACCATCTTATATGGCCGTGGTTCACAGTGCTTCAAAACAATTACAGTAGTAACATTAAAAATCACTGATCACAGATCACCATAGTAATGAAAAAGTTTGAAGTATTGTAAGAATGACCAAAATATGACACAGAGGCATGTTGTTGGAAAAATGGTCAACAGACTTGCTTGGCTGCCACAAACCTTCAATTTGTTGAAAACACAACATCTATGAAGCGCAACAAAGCAAAGCGCAATGACGCAAAGCGCAATAAAATGAGGTATGCCTGCATAAAGCTTGGACTTGGTACTTGAGTAGTTTCAAGACTAGCTGGAAGGATTTGAGTAAGCACACGAGGCAATTGGAGGACACTACAAAGGGGTACACAGTCAAGAGCCAAATTGGGTGGTATGAAAGGTTCATTAGTGGGATTTCTCACTAACTTTATAGGGAGCCTATACATCAGGTGTTAATATCATTAATCTCACCCCTCCCATATAACTACTTGCTCCGAGGAACTAGATTTTTTATGGTTATTGATTTCACAACATTTTAAAGTCATTCATATCAATACAAAGTACTCAAGGCCAATTATTAAAGTTGTACACTAAAAAAGGGGGGTGAAAGAGAACGTGATTGGCTTGTATGGCATTTCTTAAGGTCCTTTTCCAAATCTCAGCATAGCAATAAAGAATCTCTTGTTGGAGAAAAACATTTTAGAATTAGTAGCAGTGTTATTACAGAATCATTTATAATTTGAAATCTGAAGTGTACATAGGATGTCTTATGGGAGGTAGTAGGGCATAGTAAAAAGAGTACCAAACATATAGGCATGAAGATCTGAATTCAAACTCACCCTCTGTCCCTGAGCAAGTCACTTAACCACTTTGGACCCCAACAGCCACCCACATAAATGTGGGTGATCACACTTGCCATATTCACTTCTCAATTCACATGCTGACTGTAAGGTTCACATAAGCAATCATGGAAAGTGTTTTGGAAAATTTAAAGCACCTTATAAACATGAGTGATCGTTTTTCATTTTTATATCCAAAGTGATCAGCAATAGCCATATCCTTCAGAATTGTGCTGAAAAAAAGTCTCTCCTTCAGATAGCAAGTAATCCTGTTGTCAAGAATCTCATTTGAGAGTCCAGTCGACTAGCTACGTCGTGTCCACTTTGCATTATGAGGTTCTCCGTGTCATTATAAAAATAATGATCTCTGAGCACTGGCCCTGGATTCAGGAGGACCTGCGTTCAAATCCAGCCTCAGACACATAACACTTATTAGCTGTGTGACCCTGGGCAAGTCACTTAAGCCCATTGCCTAACCAAAAAATAACAATAATGATGATCTCTGGGGAGACCAGGGCATAAATGGAAACCAAGAAAGTTGAGAAGGCAACAGAGATACCATCTTCAGAGTCACAAAGCTACTACAGAGTGAAATGCAAAAGGGGAATACAGGAAAGGTTTTTCTAAATGCAATTAACAGTATACGAGAGAAGTAACACCTCACTTATGATTATCAGCTCCTTGAGGGCAGAAACTGTCTTTTGCCTCTTTTTGTATCCCCAGCATTTAGCACACTGCCTGGCACACAGTGAGCACTTAACAAATGTTTATTGCATGAATGAACAAAATGAAGGAAAGATTGATACCAACTCAGTAAATCAGCTCTCAGGACAAGAAAGGCAGCTACTAACAAGTCTACTAACAAGTCTCAACTGTTTAGTTTAACCCCTATGATAGGCAGTATAACTGACATCCATGATAATTTTTCTTCCCAACAGTGACTCTAGTCAAGGGATATGGAGATCAGACAGCAAATCTTTAGTATCATCATCCAGCACAGGTAGGTCCAGCTCCCACCACATTCAATTAGTAAATGGTATACATGCTGCCAGAGGTGAGATATATGTAGTAACAAGGGAACTCTTCACTTCTCATTATCCCTGATGTTTTTGTCCAGGACTAAAGGGACAGATAACACAGAAACACATGTCAAATCTTTATACGAGTTGTCTACTTTACAACCTGTTAAGGTTTAGAAACTGGTAATTACAGATGAATCTTGGGATAATGTCATATAAAGGTACTTGGTTTGGAATCAACAAATCTCCATTCTGTTCAATTCTACAACATTTATTAAACACCTACTATGTTGTCAAGCACTGTGGTAGGGATATAAAAAAAAAAGAAAAAAGCTTTCCCTTCTCTCAGGGAGCTTCCACTGTACTGGGACATATAACAGGATGCAGGTAAATGCAAAATTTTGCAGGTTAATATAAAAAACAGATAAACGCAAACAGTCACACAACACTACTTCACATGGTGACGGACCAAGAAAGGCCTTGTGGAAGAAGTGGTGAGCCAGGAATTCTCCAGTGCAGGTGCTGACACTAGTGACCTCTGAGACCTTGGGCAGCTACCTTGATGCCTCTGAACCTTAATTTCTTCATTGGTCAAACAGAAAGAATGCCATCTGTCCTGACTGCATTACAGGGAGAGGCACAAATAAAACCATGGATGACAAAATGATTGGGAAAGTATAAAGGACTATGGAACATATCATACCTGGCTTTTGAAGGAAAGGTAGAAATTACACAGCTCACATTTGTTTTAATGAACAAAAGAACTTGGTTGGTTGGCTTTGTAACTGAAGAGGACCCAAATGACATCATTATGTTGGGGTCAATGTACAGTTCGTCCGACTGTGACTGATCAGACCAATATGAGCTCAGAAGGCTCTATCACCGCTCAGGCACAAATATCCCATGCGAACATTTGCGATGGAGATGTCTCTAAATTTACACATCTTATGTTTCTTTTGAGCTACTGAAATTCTGTTTTGCTCATAGAGAACAGCAGTTTCTCTGATGCAGGCACACCATGCTGGGTGGTCCTATGCCAGTGCCTCCCATGTCTCACAATTGATAACAAAGTTCTTCAGAGAGACCTTTAGATGGTCCCTGGATTGCTTCTTCTGATCTCCATGTCAGCACTTCCCTTATGTGAGTTCTCCATAAAATAGTCTTTCATTCAAACATCATGGCCAGTCCACTGAACTTGTTACTCTCTGTAGCAGCAGAGTTTGAATGCTTGGCAGTTCAGCTCAAGAGAGGACTTCAGTGCCTGGTACCTTATCTTGTCAGGTGATCTTCAGAATCTTCCTTAAGACAATTCAAACAGAAGTGATTCAGTTTCCTGGCACTGCACTGGTAGACTCTCTAGGTTTCACAAGTATACAACAATGAGATCAGCCCAACAACTCTGTAGATATTCAGTACAGTAGGCAGTCTAACACTTCTCTCCCACACTTTCCTTCAGAACCTCCCAAATACTGAGCCAGCTCTGGCAACGTGCACATCGACCTCATCATCTACGTGTACATCCCTGGAAAGTATACTGCCAAGATAAAGGAACATTCAAAATTTCTCTACCTGCTATAATCAATGGTTCCATGTATGTACAGCATGATGCTGGCTGGTGGAGAATCTCTGTTTTCTTGGTGTTGTCAGGCAAAATTAGCACAAGCAAGAGATCCATATTCTGTTGCATCTCAGCTTCAGAGGCTGCCCTGGGTGAACAATCACCTGTTAAAAAAAAAAGTTGTGGGGGCAGCTAGGTGGCACAGTGGATAGAGCACCGGCCCTGGGGTCAGGAGGCCCTGAGTTCAAATCTGACCTCAGACACACAACACTCACTAGCTGTGTGACCCTAGGCAAGTCACTTAACCCCAATTGCCTAGCCCCCCCCAAAAAAAGTTGTATACCAATTCTCCCTCCACTTTTGTCTTATTTGTAGCCTTTACAAATTAAATAATTTACCATCAGTGAGGTACCTGTCCTCAGTAGCGTTTTTCATCCTCATTGAAGGCATCCCACAACATTGCTGAACACAGCATGAAAAAAGCTAGCATCAAAAGACCATGTTTATCCAAATACATGTTATGTTCTAAGTCAAGATCGGGCATTCTTTCTATCTTTCTTATTACTTAGAAATGAGAGGATGTTTTCAGGGAAATGCTATTCTGTGCAACCCGAATGATGTTAACTGCCTCCAGCTGCTCCTTGCAGACCCCAAGAAATGTTTCCTGAATTGAGTAGCTGCATTTTCATACAAGGACCTATTTTGAATCCTTTCTCCTGCAAACCCCAAACCTGTAGAAAGAAGATTGGGACTTACAAAGCACCATCCAAAGCAAACCCTTGGTCACAGCAAGATCTCAGAAGACACTACCTTCTGCAGTAATTCCTTAAGATGCTATAGACAGAAAACAATCATCCATCAAGAAACAAAAGAGCAAAGCACATATGACTGAAACGACTGCACTCCCCACTCAGGCCAACAGAAATAAGAATTA